GCAGAACCTCCTCCGTCGGGCAGGTGCCCATCCCGTCGGGCAGAACCTTCTCCCGTCGGGCAGAACCTCCTCCCGTCGGGCAGGTGCCCATCCCGTCGGGCAGGACCTCCTGCACATCCCGTCGGGCAGAACCTCCTCCGTCGGGCAGGTGCCCATCCCGTCGGGCAGAACCTCCTCCCGTCGGGCAGGTGCCCATCCCGTCGGGCAGAACCTCCTCCTGTCAGGCAGGTGCCTCCTCCCGTCGGGCAGCACAACATGCCTTCCACACGTTCTCCGCGTGCTCCCCTCCGTGGGAACACGTCATCCACCAACTGCCCATCTCCGAAAGAGCAGGTCAAACCCACTTTCCGGAGATCACGGAGCAGTTGGACTAAGGCGAAGACCACATTTTGGTCTTCACTATGCCACGTAAGCCCTAGCAGTCATTTAGATTGGGCCTGGACATCCAGCCCAACTCATATGACCATTGGCCCAGCGCTGGGGTCTCTCTATAAATACCCTCTTCCCCAAGAGGGCCAGGTAACTCATTTCTTACCCCTTTTCTGTACTCTGCCCTCACTCTGCCCAACTCCTTACTTTGGCATCGGAGTGTTTTGCAGGTACACCTCCTTCTCCTCCTCATCACCGGTGAACAGGTAGCAGTCCAACAGCATGTGGCCAGTCCGTGATCTCCTTCTGATCAGGTCATATCAGTGGCGCCGTCTGTGGGAAACTAAGCTCCCCCGTTCCTCCGAGCAGAGAACCAAAGCTTCATCTCTCAAAACTTCAAGATCATGAGTGCCCCCCACCATGGCGACGCTGTTCACAACTGTCCTCCCTTCGTCGAGCAGAAGACTCCGACGGGCAGGACCCTGGCTGCCCACCAGCCAGTCTTTGTCCTCTCTGTTGACAAGCAAAAGACTCCGATGGGCAGGACCCTGGCTGCCCACCAGCCAGTCTTTGTCCTCTCCGTTGACGAGCAGAAGACTCTGATGGGCAGGACCCTGGCTGCCCACCAGCCAGTCTTTGTCCTCTCCTTTCGTCGAGCAGAAGACTCTGATGGGCAGGACCCTGGCTGCCCACCAGCCAATCTTTGTCCTCCTTTCGTCAAGCAGAAGACTCCGATGGGCAGGACCCTGGCTGCCCACCAGCCAGTCTTTGTCCTCCTTTCGTCGAGCAGAAGATTCTGATGGGCAGGACCCTGGCTGCCCACCAGCCAGTCTTTGTCCTCTCCGTTGACGAGCAGAAGACTCTGATGGGCAGGACCCTGGCTGCCCACCAGCCAATCTTTGTCCTCCCCTTTGTCGAACAGAAGACTCCGATGGGCAGGACCCTGGCTACCCACCAGCCAGTCTTTGTCCTCCTTTCGTCGAGCAGAAGACTCCGATGGGCAGGACCCTGGTTGCCCACCAGCCAGTCTTTATCCTCCTTTCGTCGAGCAGAAGACTCCGATGGGCAGGACCCTGACTGCCCACCAGCCAGTCTTTGTCCTCCTTTCTTCGAGCAGAAGACTCCGATGGGCAGGACCCTGGCTGCCCACCAGCCAGTCTTTGTCCTCTCCTTTGACGAGCAAAAGACTCTGATGGGCAGGACCCTGGCTGCCCACCAGCCAGTCTTTGTCCTCCTTTCGTCGAGCAGAAGACTCTGATGGGCAGGACCCTGGCTGCCCACCAGCCAGTCATTGTCCTCCTTTCGTTGAGCAGAAGACTCTGATGGGCAGGACCCTGGCTGCCCATCAGCCAATCTTTGTCCTCTCTTTTGTCGAACAGAAGACTCCGATGGGCAGGATCCTGGCTGCCCACCAGCCAGCCTTTGTCCACCTTTCGTCGAGCAGAAGAATCTGATGGGCAGGACCCTGGCTGACCAACCAACCAGTCTTTGTCCTCCTTCTGTCAAGCAGAAGACTCCGATGGGCAGGAACCTGACTGCTCACCAGCCAGTCTTTGTCCTCTCTTTCGTCGGGCAGAAGACTCTGCCGGGCAGGACCCTGGCTGCCATCCAGCTTTGTCCTCCCTTCAAAAACCTACTACCTCGAAAACTTACACGAGGACCATATAGCTCGACCATAGAACGCTGAGAAGCTAGAAAAAAATACTACAGTTAAACACTACCCGCGAGGACCACAGGAGCGCGACATGGTACGACCGCGTCTCCTCGGATTTAACGAGACAACAAACGCGTTCCCTTGAGTGTGCGGACAAAGCGTTCTGCTCGACGGCAACGCCCTCGACCGAGAGTTGCCACTGCAGTACCAGATCGGCAGAACACCCAGCTCGCGATGGGCCGTTCACACCAGGGGGACGAGTCCACAACCGTGGTCCAACCCCTTCTTCCGACCAGGTACCAACTTCGGTCAACCGGTTAGTTCCCTACACTACCGGTCAACGAAGTCGAGCTACACCCTCTACTGAGCAAATTTTACATCAAAGCATAACAATCATGCACGCACACAAAACTTAGAAAGGAAAACAAGAATTCCATAAAAGGGGCACAAGCCCAGAAGTCAAAACGTTATAATAAACGGGCACGACCCCGGATGTCGAGCAGAAACGATCGAAGGTGTCGAGCAGAAAATTTTGGATGGTGAGCGACTGCAATTTCGTCCTGCCCAGATGATCGATACGACCGACGCCAGTCTCGGATCCTGCCTGACATATCAGCGCGCCCAACGCTATTCTCTACTTAAGTCATAGCTCTCTTGACAGCGAACTACGACTTGGGGGGCTCCTGTTCTGGACTGGGCCGAGGCTTAGCCCACAATCGAGAAGGCCCAAAATCCCACTGAGGTTGGGCCCAATTGGACCACACTGATGAACAGGGACTCGTTGGGCAGGAACCTCCTCCCGTCGGGCAGAACCTCCTCCGTCGGGCAGGTGCCCATCCCGTCGGGCAGAACCTCCTCCTGTCGGGCAGGTACCTCCTCCCGTCGGGCAGCACAACATGCCTTCCACACGTTCTCCGCGTGCTCCCCTCCGTGGGGACACGTCATCCATCAACTGTCCATCTTCGAAAGAGCAGGTCAAACCCACTTTTCGGAGATCACGGAGCAGTTGGACTAGGGCGAAGACCACATTTCGGTCTTCACTACGCCACGTAAGCCCTAACAGTCTTTTGGATTGGGCCTGACCATCCAGCCCAACTCATATGACCGTTGGCCCAGCACTGGGGTCTCTCTATAAATACCCTCTTCCCCAAGAGGGCCAGGTAACTCATTTCTTACCCCTTTTCTGTACTCTGCCCTCACTCTGCCCAACTCCTTACTTTGGCATCAGAGTATTTTGCAGGTACACCCCCTTCTCCTCCTCATCACCGGTGAACAAGTAGCAGTCCAACAGCGTGTGGCCAGTCCGTGACCCCCTTCTGATCAGGTCAGATCAGAAAGAGTATATTACTTCGTTTGGTTATGTGGTCGTAGTATGAAATGGTTACGAAATATGCTTTTTGTAGTATTGTTGAGAGAGAAATACATTGTGAATAGCTCAAAAAATATTATTAAATATCTTCTGCTCGTAAACAAAAAGATATATCCTCCATCTAATATCCCAAATATACATCGCATCAACCCAAAACCCTACAATACAATAGTCCTACTAAATTGATTAGAAATGTTAAATAACCTAGGGAGTTTAATAATATAAGGGATCAAATCAACCCAAAAGAAAGTTAAGAGACAATTGCCCACTTTTTTCTAAGTCATCCCCCAAACCAGTTTGAAGAATCATTACAATTATAAATAGGCATGACAATGAGGCGGGACAGGGGTGGTTTCATCTTCCCCAAACCTAAACTTGAATCCTTAATAAATACTCGCTACCCGTCCCAATCCCCGTCGAGGATAAATATTAAATCCTAACGAATTCGGGTTGAATACGGGTATCCCTACCCCACTCTCACCTCCATGATGTAATCAATTTTTTTTTAATAAAAATAATTTATTTCCTTAATATTAAAATAAAATACAAATACAAAAGTAAAACAATAACATAAATTTCCAAACATACATTTCAAATAATAAAGTAAAGGCCAATACAAGACGATAAATTCATATTTCAATTTATCAAAACTATAAACAAATATAAATGTGGTTTAAGTGGTTACTGGTGTCCTCATTACACGATTCATCTCCGTATTTTATAATCGGAGAAAATTCAAACTCAACCAAAATGGATTATCCCCGTGAAATCCAAGGTGGTGCGGGATCAAATTTTATTGTCATGCCTAATTACAATTCAAACAAGACACAACTTTTCACAATTTAGAGAATAAGTGAGAGAGATAAGATTCTCAAATAAAGAATAAACATCTCAAAATACTTATTTGAAAAATAGAATGATAGCCCACCAACCCTTGGCACCCGAGAGCAACATCCACCACCACTTAATCAATGGAGCTAAATTAACAAGAAAAGGATTTCAAACCCCTAAAGCTCCTTTGTTTCCATTTATCAAATCAACTATACCAAAAAAAAAAAAAAACTTAAAATCACCTTTAAAACCTAAGTAACTTGTTCAAAATTTTAATAGATATCTTTAAGTAGGATAAGAAGAAAGCCATGATGACGTTAACATGAAAATTTAGCATGACATTAACAAACCCATGCCTCCAATAGTGATATAAATTACTCACATAAAACAAGTTGGTCAATTATTTTATATGAATGCATGGTATAATCAGATTTGTGAGTTAATCTGTAATTCAATGAGCGGTTAAAGAAATAAATAATTTAAAGTGGCGAGGATTATAATCCATCCTAAAGAGGCTTCATTTCACACATAAATTCTCAAGCAATATGAATTCATAGTCAGCAAATTCACGGCTGCCATGCACCTGAGACCAAATCTACTTGCCGTAACGACCATTTCTAGTATTAAATAAACCAATAGAGGAATTAACTAAATAAATGTCAAATTTTCCCTATAAATACTTATATATCAAATGAAATCTCTCACTTCAAAAATCTTATCTCATTAACATTACTATCTAAGATACAGCAAAAAGAAATTATTCTTGTGTTAGAAAATATGGGAAACTGTTGCAAAGCAGCATCGTCAATGGAGTGGGGTGGAGAGGATTGGGAATCTTTGAAGGTGCATGACGAAGCTGTTCATCAGAATAAGGAGAATGATGTATTGGGAAAGCTTAGAGATTCTTGTGATGTAAACGGGAAAGTGACGTTGAAAATTTCAAGGAGGGAGCTAGCTGAGTTATTAGGAGCGATTCAACAGCCGCAGAAGCAGATGAAGAAGAAGAAGAAGGAATTAGGTTCTGCAGAAGAAGTTCTTTATCGGTTAATTAAAGCAAAAGATCATGGAATTGTAAGTAAGCACTGGAAACCGATGCTAGAGTCAATTCCTGAAAGTTACTAAGCTTAATTAGAAATTAGATTTTCATACTATTGGTGCGATCACAAGGGTCGATTCATCTTTTTCTTTTGTAAAGTTGATCTAGTTTATCCAAATAAAAATAATTAGGGCCAGTTTGAATCTCTTCTAGTATTTAGTTTTTAAATTTTATTTTAGAATTTTTTTTTAAAATTAATTGATAAAAATCTACTTTATTAGGTTAAATAACTAAGGGATCAACCAACATTTTAAAATAATGCTCCTTCATTCTGATACAATCATTATCTCTTTCTTTAATGTCCCTTCATTCTGCCACTTTGGAATTGAATGGAAGGAATAACTTTTATGAGATCGGATACAACATGCATAAATCACATTTTTAATATTGTGGATAGAGGTTGGAATACATAGGTTAAGCTTATTAAGCATATTCTTCTAGCACTAATTATTTTAATTATTTTGAAAATTTGGCATCCAAAAAACACCATTAAATTTAAAACAGGTAAAACAATGATTTACAAAGATGTTAACCCACTAAAAAGTTCATTGATTTTTACTCACCATGTTTCAAAAGACAATATGTACTCCTCAATATTAGAGTTTATAACTTGTACTAGGATATTTTGTTTTGTTTTGTCAGAGAGAAGGTAAAACAGAGGAAGGCATGACAAGTCAAATCACAATGAATACTTAGCTAGTCTACATGTCACTCAAAGGTAGATTATGTTTGTCCATATATAACAATGTATGTGTATTATGTGTAATTCTTTCCCATTGTTAACATCGCTCGTTTTTTTTAGGTCAAGGTAAATCACTCACTCACGAAATATGGGGTGCACGTATTATTAGCCACTAATGATATTGAAATTCAGTCAAAGAGGAAAGTCACATTTTTCTAAAAGAACAGGGAGAATGATAGTTTTATGTATGCTCACAATATGGTAGAATAACCATCTTATGTGTTTTAGAATCCAGGTCTAATAAACCTTTATAAATACGTCAACCAAGATATTGAAAAGGACATTGAATTCACTCAAAAACCATCTAGGAACATATATTTTTATCATCACTGCTTGAGCTTACTCTAATACCAACAATAATTCTAAAATCCTCACACATTTCTGCGTGATTAGGGGTTGTAACTCATTAAACTTTTAGCAAGTACAATTGTTACTCACCATGGGACCCAGTAAGAATAATCTGGGCCGAACAGCTCCACGAAGTACTATGTTTGTATCACACCACCCCTTACTTAACTACCATAGAGACTGCATTTACAATGGTGTAAGATGTTGATGTCATGATGCCCGTTGAAATTGACACGCTCACATGGAGATGTTCTCAATTATGTGACAAGGAAAATGAGACAGAATTTAGACATGCAGTAGACTTGATTGACGAAACCTGCGATATCGTCCACATCAGAGAATTTTCCGCAAAACAAATGGCGGCTAAAAGGTATACTTCAAAAGTGGTCCCAAGAAAAATGCAAGAGGTGGCCTCGTATTTAGGCAGGTTGTCGTGCTAGCTCAACTAGGGAAATTACAGCCTAACTTGGAGAATCCATACCACATACGTTAAAAGGTACCTCATAGAGCTTACAAACTCGAGGAGCTGAATGGAAGACTTGTCTCAAGAACATAGATCTCAACTAACATGAGATATTATTATAGTTAACCTTTTTATGTTTCCTATTTTAAATATGACATTTATCCAACCAACGTTTGAACTTTCTTAAAACTATTTTATTACCATGCTCACATAAAGTAAACTCATCACTATTTTATGTTGGACTTTCATTGGAAGATTTTTGGCGTTTTCAGTGGCAATGTAAATGTTGGACTTCCATTGAAAGATCCTTGTCGTCCTTAGAGGAAATGTTAATGTTTGACTTTCATTGAAAGATCCTTGCCCCCTTAGATGAAATGTTAATGTTGGACTTTTATTGAAGATCTTTGTCACCCAAAAGGAATTAGGGATACCATGGCTAGTACTAAAAGTATTCGTAGACTGTGCAAAATTTACCACGTCTTGAATCCTTCAATGAGTAGCAACACCAATAATTCAGCTTAAAGTTTTGTCTGAGGAACTCAACTTAAAATCTCGCATGAGGGATCCAACTTAAAGTCTCGCTTGAGAGACTCAAATTATAGTCTTTCCTAAGGGACTCAACTTAAAGTTCCACCCGAGAGACTCAACTTAGAGTCTTTTCTGAGGGGCTTAACTTAAAGTCTTTTCTGAGAGACTAAACTTAAAATCTCACATGAGGGACTCAACTTAAAGTCTCTTCAGAGGGACTCAACTTAAAGTCTCTTTAGAGGGTCTCAAGTTAAATTCCATCATTCATTTTTGTTATTTCTACTACTACCGTTGATTTTGGTTAAATTCATGTATACACATCCAAGAGATTCTTTCTACACAACCATGTGCCATGTTTGTTTCCTCTATTAAAAGTTTGAACTATTCTAGTTTTTTTCAAGTATGTCTCTTTCCATATGGATCATTGACTCTAAAGCATCACATCATATATCATATAATGATAAATCATTTATGAATTTAAACCCTATTTCATTTATGTTGGTTATGACTATGGATGTCACTCATATGTCATTAGCAAACATTAGTTCTTTCACCATAACTAATATGTCAGTTTTCATGTTAATAATTTTCTTAACCTCACTGTGTTTCCTGCTTATGTTATTCAATTATGTGATTCTGGTTATTCTGTTATATTCTCTGAGAATTCTCGTTGTGTGCAGAATCCACGTTCTAGGAGGCTGATTGAGAAAAGACATAGAGTAGGGGGACTTTATGTCTTGGATGTATTGAATTTCAGATACTAGAGCCTTGAGTTTTGTTTCCACTACTAATTTATCATCTTTTTTTGTTTGAATTCTTCATCATTAAATTTTTATTTATAATTTTCTCATCTTGGACATGTATCTAGTTTTAGGTTAAAGATCTTATAAAAAAAACTTTTAGGTTAAAGTGCTTAGCTTCTACTTGAGCATTAGAAAAGCTACAAACCAATGATATGCCAGATTGTTATGGTTATAAACTTTTTAAATTCTCAATTTTACCTTTTAATTAAAGTGTTCATACTTCATATGTACCCTTTAATTTTGTTCACTGTGATGTATATAGTTCATAAATGGATCTTACCAAAGGTGGATTTAGATATTATGTTTTGTTTATTGATTACTATATTTTTTATTATTGGGTTTACGTTATCCAGAAATATTATGTTTTTTTTAATATTTATTATATGTTTCTTAGGTTGGTTAAATCTCAATATAATATTGTTATAAAGTATTTTTGTTGTAATTTAAGGGGTGAATTTATTTATAATAAATTCTCTTAGTTATTACTTAGGAAGACTCTATTTGCCAGACATCTTGTACTAATATTTCTCAATAGAGCGGCGTTGTTTAAAGAAAACATTATCTTATTGTTAAGACTACTTGTTGCCTTGTGTTGTGTTCTTTGGTTTCTAGTGATTTTTCTGGTGAAGTAGTTCTTACTCTTGTTAATGCTATTAATAGAATCCCGTCACCTTTGACATCATGTTTGTCTCCTTTCAAAAAATTATATGATTCCATACTTGATTATTCTTATTTAAAAATTTTGGTTCTAGTTGCGTTGTTTGTTGTTTTTTGTCCATAGGTAGAATGTAGTAAGTTGTCTTTTCGTTCATCCATATGTGTTATACTTATTTATGGGAATGCTTAAAAGGGTTATTATTGTTGTGATATCCAAGCAAAAAAAAATTTATTTTTTCTTACCTGATATCTTTCTCGAACACACTCATTTTTATTATCTTTCCCCTAATTCTCACATTTTAGTAGTTCATAACCCACCAACGTTCTTTTGGTCTTAATAATAATATTCTAGTAGTAGTAATTTTTAGAATTGCAAGATTGATATTACTTCTACTCTTGATACAAATATGGCTTTTCTCCTCACGTCTACCTAACAACCTCTCGCGACTGTTGATTCTACGAAGTATGTTTTATTGCTAAGGTATTCTCTCAACAATATGATATAAATTATGAAGAAATTTTCGCTCTATTGCCCAAGATGACTACTTTTGAAATCTAATTGCAAATTCATAAGTTTGTTAGTGACATGTTAAAATGTGATCTTCTAAAATGTGATACTCCCAAGGAAGTTTATATAAAATATCCTCTGAGTATTTTTGATAATCTAGGGAAACAAGCTTTACGACCTTAGTTTGAGAAGTTTACCACTATTATTTTTACTCTTGATTTCTTCTCTAATGATCATGATCGTATTTACTTTTATTATATGTTGATAATATGATTATTACATGTGATGATGCTGATTGATTTGATAATTTAAAATTGCAATTAATTAATAAATTGAGATGAAAGACTTTAGTACTCTTCACTATTTCTTAAGAATTGAAATTCGAGATAAAATATTAGATAGTATCATTAAATATTTATATGATAATTTAATCTTTCCTAATATCTTATATTTATATCATATTATAATCTTTACTCTATAGAATTTTGTCATTCTAGAAACTATAGCCTTCTTTTTCCTTCTTTTGTTATTTCTCTTTTGTTAACAGAAATATATAATATATGTACTAGATTAAATTTTAAAAACAAATTGTTTGAAAAGTTAAAAGTGGCATTTTTTTTATTACGTGATAATCATAATAAAATAAAGGAAATTAGATTGCATTCAATAATTTGACACTCGATATCTTAGTGGTAGTTGGATTGAAATCAAATAGTTAAAATTTTGATATGAATTTTAGTTATTTTTTGTTAAAAAATAAATTTTATATTTTAAATTGTTTTAATCTAATAGCTACAAATATATGGAAGGTGTAGACAGAAATATCTCTAAATTTGGGATTTGGTTACTTTTACTCTAGAAAATTGTCTGATGAGAGGAAAATAGATATAGAGACTAGTGTAAAAAAAATTCATTTGTGACGTAATAGAAAGAAAAATAGATTTAAAATGAGTTGTTTGTGGATAAATATGGAGTGT